AAGCGCCCAAGAATATACAAATTCATACTCGAGGAGCATGCTTGAGCGCCCAGTAGCACGCTCGAGCGCTCCAAGGCAGACAACAACAACAATTTCAGCATGGTGCTACTAAGATTTATCAAGACCTGAAGAAGATCTTCTGGTGGCCGGGCATGAAGAAAGATGTTGCTGTCTTTGTGTCCAAGTGTTTGGTTTGCCAGAAGGTGAAGATTGAACATCAGAGACCGTCTGGTGAACTTCAACCTCTTGAAGTACCACTGTGGAAGTGGGAAGGTATTTCCATGGTTTTCATGGTGGGATTGCCGAAGACTCAGGCGGGTTGTGACTCTATTTGGGTCATTGTGGACAGACTGACGAAGTCTGCCCATTTTCTTCCGGTGAAGGTGAGCTTCACTACAGAGCAGGTTGCCAAGCTTTATGTTCGCGAGATTGTGAGGCTTCACGGGGTGCCCGAGAGTATCATTAGTGATAGGGACCCGAAGTTAACATCTCGGTTCTGGAAGGCGTTGCAGGAGGCTTTTGGTACGCAGTTGAGATTGAGTACCGCCTATCACCCTCAGACTGATAGACAGACTGAAAGGACCATCTAGACCTTGGAGGACATGTTATGAGCTTGCACGTTGGAGCAAGGCTCGGCATGGGATAGGTACCTTCGGTTGGTCGAATTTTCGTAAAACAACAGCTTTCATGCTAGCCTGGGCATGGCGCCCTACGAAGCACTGTATGGTAGGAGGTGTCAGACTCTTACTTGTTGGTCTGAAGTTGGGGACAATGAGCTTTTTGGCTTGGACTTTGTCCAAGATACCACCTTGCAGATCCAGTTGATCCGAGAAAAGTTGAAGCAGGCGCAGAATCGCCAGAAGACCTACTATGATGTCAAGCATCGTCCGCTGGAGTTCAGTGAGGGTGAGCACGTGTTTGTGAGGCTTTCACCTATCACCGGTGTTGGTCGGGCACTCGGAGTGAGGAAGCTGAGCCCGCGATATATTGGGCCATACCAGATCCTTGGTAGAGTAGGACCTGTTGCCTACCAGCTTGCCTTGCCTCCGAACTTGGCCAACATCCACGACGTGTTTCACTTGTCTCAGCTTCTGAAGTACATAGCAGATCCGTCGCACGTGGTGCAACCAGATGATGTGGAGGTTCGGGAGAACCTAAAGACTCCCGTCGGACCACTAAGGATTCTCGATCGTGGCGAGAAGTAGTTGAGGAGCAAGATCATTCTAATTGTCAAAGTGCAATGGACTAGAAGAACTCCTGAGGAGTGTACTTGGGAGCGAGAGGATGAGCTTCTCCGGCAGTACCCCGAGTTTCGATCAGGTATGTTTTCTGATTTTGAGGAAAAAATCCTAAAAAAGGTGGGGTGAATGTAAGAACCCGCACCGTTAAATAAGGAATTTAACTGATTAATTATGTTAAATTAGGAAATGATTCCATAATTGAACCTAATAATTATTAATGGGCTTTAATAATTATGATAAGTGATTTAGAATGCTGAAAGTCGCTTTTCGGAAGAAAAGTTCAGATACCGGATATGCTAGTCGGTATAAATGCGTACCGAAAAAGTATCCTGAAAAATTATAATAAGTGCATGATAATTACTAGAATAATATATAGGACTTGTAAAACGAGTTTCAAGTCCAAATAATGAGAACTGGTGGCAGAAATTGATATTGGCTATGAAAAGCGCGTACCGGAAAGGTGCTCCGAAAAATATAATAAAAATAAGAAAATTCTTGTAAAATTGAGTAGGTTAAGAATCCAAAGTTTGAGGTTTAAATTCTAAGCGTAGCAATTAAAGTTAATACAATATGATTAGTGTTAAGTGGACCTATATAAGCCTAAGGGCACAAATCCCTAGGCCATACTCAGCCTCTACGTGAGTCTTTTGTTGAGTCTCTCCAACCTTCTCTTCTCTCTTGAAAGTCTTGGTCTTTGCTCATGAAAAAGGACCAAGAAGCCATCTTTGTTGTGAGTCTTCTTCTTGAGAGTTGTAAACACTAAGCTTGAGAGCATTGTGAGGGGGTGGTGGAGCTTTGTGAGTTGATGCTTGCTGTTTGTGGGACATTTTTGGGGCTGTTTGTTCTGAGTTTGGGTTGTGTGGCCTTGTTCTTGGCTTCTTGAGCTTCAAGAAGCCACCTTTTGGCATAAAGGGACAAGCAAGAAAGTGTATTTTCGTAGCCTTGTGAAGTCAGAACTGTGGGAGCTTCAAGTGAGCTCCAAGAGCACCTCCCTTTGCTGTTTTTAACTTGTGGTATGACCACCACCTTTGAACTTGAGTTTTTATGCATAAAAATGGAACCTTGATGCATGTAATGGTTAAAAGATGATAACCTAACTTGGGGTAATGTCAAACACACCTAGAAATACATGTTTAGGCTTCTGTAATCGGTAAAAATGGTACCTTTGAAGGATATCTTCGCGAAATGCAGAAACTGTATTCTGTCGCTAAATATCCTGATATTTGCCAGTGAAATATCGGGATATTGATATTTGGATATGGATATCCGGATATTGATATCCGGATATGGGGATCTGGATATCCGGATATTGATTTCCGGATATTGTTAGTGAGATATCCGGATATTGTTAGTGAGATATCCGGATATTGTATATCCGGAAATGCCCCGAGAAATATCCGGATATTCTGGGATTTCGAAGAACAATAGTTGAGCTGTGAGGACAGTAGGCTATTGGGGGTTTGTGGACCCTAGAGTGATGAAGTTGAACTTCTGTATTTAATGAACTAAGTCAGAATCATGTGATTAAGGGCTTGTGGCTTTGTTGGAAACCTTAAGACGTAAATCGTTAAAGGAGAATGTAGTCTTTATGTTAATGCTTTTGAGCTATGTATGTTGATACACTTGCTGGTCCTAAATCAGATTTTGATCTGCTGTGTGTTGGATTTGAGCTGTGAGGACTCTTGGCATCAGATAGTGAGCTTGCAAGGTAAGCTTTCATGGCCTCGGTTTAGCCATGTTGTGGTTCCACAATGTCCCATGGGGGTATGGTTATATGCATGCTGTGTTACATGCTTTTGATGTTTTGGAAATGCTATTGACCTGTTATATGCTAGTTGCCTTTATGATATGCATGTGGTGTTCCACCTATACGGTAAGCCTGAGTATGTGGTACATACAAGATGGTGAGGCTGTAGGTGAGGTGCAAGCGGTGTTCCTTGTACTACATGTAGGTATAGACGTATTCCTGCATTTCTCCGACCAGTAGAATAGTGATAAACACACATGGCATGAATATCTGTTGCACTGCATAGTTTTGGAACTGATATTGATATAAATGCTTTTAGAACTTATATTGCACATGTAAGTGAGCTTGGGGTGGAAGATCTTTGGGGACCCCTAGTCTTACTGAGATTTCTGGTTTAGAAATCTCACCCCACGTTTGGGAAATGCTTATTTCAGTATCAAGTAATGTTGAGACCTCAGGCGGCAGGAGGCCGGAGCTGAGTTAGATATTGATGATATTATATGCTGACTTGTTGGATGCTGGATATGCTAGCTGCTTATATGCTTTTAGCTTCATTTTATGATTTTGGATTATCTTGTTGAGACACTGTTGATTTGGTGAGCATGGGGATTGTCCATGCCACGTAGACTTGTTATGTCTTGTTTTAATTAGAGTTGTATTAATGTATCAGGATATTGTCTGGATTACGTGATGTAATGCCGTGACTTAGATACTCACTTTATTTATATATTGAGGTATTTCAGTAGATGTCTTATTGCAATTTACATTCAGGCGATATTTTATGAAATTGATTAAGTAATCAAGTTGGTAACTGATAATGACGTCATAATTGAAAAGAAAAAGAATATTCCGCATTTTTAATTAAGCGTAGCTTAATATGATGTAATGATAACACTACCGGATATATACGGGGTGTTACGCCAAGTCACAACAAGTTTTTGGCACCGTTGCCGGGGATCAAATTCTTCAACATTAGAAGTAACTAATTAACTTTTAGATTGGACGTTTTAATTTTTTCTGCACTTTATACATTCTTCAAAAATATTTTTCTGCATTAAAATTCTGCATCAATTTTCTGCATATTTATTTTTCTGCATTCTTTGTTTGTTTGTTTATTTTTTTTATTTATTTTTCCGTTTTATCTTTTTTTTTTCTATTTTTCTGCACATCTTTTCAATCTTAGTTTATGCGACGTACTCTTAACCCGCCAATCTTGCAGTTTGATCCTGAGATAGAAAAGACAGAAAGAAAACTTAGGAAAGACGCAAAAGCAAAGAAAGCGAAGGAAACAAAGTCATCAACTTCGACGGAACCAAAGGAGGAACCTATGGCAAAAAATAATCAACTCGCTCCAAGGACGTTGGGGGATTACATGACCTAGCTCGAGTCCCACAGACGGCAAGCATTTGTAGACCAAACATAGAGGCTAACAACTTTGAACTGAAACCGGTACTGCTGCAACTGAGTCAAAAAGAACAGTTCGCTGGAGGAAGCATAGAGAACCCCTATAGTCATCTCGATAACTTCTTACTTTACTGTGATACATTAAAAGTAAATGGAGTTCCTCGTGATGCTATCTTGCTCAGGTTATTTCCATGCTCACTGAAGGATGAAGCAAGAGATTGGCTGCAGTCTCTACCTGAAGGTAGCATAACCAATTGGGATGACTTAGCAAGAAAATTCTTGGCTAGATTTTTCTCAGCTTCAAAGATGGCAAGGCTCAAGGCGGAGATCACTGCTTTTGAACAAAAAGAAAGCGAATCTTTGTACGAGGCTTGGGAACGATTCAAAGGAACACTCAGGAAGTGTCCTCAACATGGAATTGTAGCATCGGAGAAAGCAAGAATCTTTTTCCAAGGGATGACATCCAGCACAAGAACACTGGTAAACGCTGCTGCAGGAGGCTCCCTGAAAACAAAAACTCCAGAAGAAGCGCTAGAATTGCTGGAACCCTTAGCATCTCAAGAATTTGACAATGCCCCAGCCCCAGTTGCACCAAGAAGTTCATAATCATGAAGCTTGAAGGCTATGATGCACTCTTAGCCCAGAATGAACAAATGCTACAAATGCATAAGAAACAACAAGAACAATTAGATGCTCTTAATAAGAAATTTAATCTTTCTAACGTTTCTTATGTTTCTAATTCTAATATTAAATGTGGTATTTGTGAAGAGGCTCATGCGACTGAGGATTGTGACTACATAAGAACAACTGAAAAGCTACCAGCGGAGGTCAATGGAGTCTGGTATGATCAAAAGAACCCGAACAATCCAGGAAGGAATCAATATGGTAATCAAGGGTGGAAGAATAATAACCAACACCCTGGGTTGAGTTACAAGTCAAACTACCAGCTGAATCTTCCTATGCCATTGCAACAACAACCTCAAGGCACCACATAAGAATGGGAGAAGGCTTTTGCACAACTGTCTAAGACAATATCCGACTACATTCAAAATGCAGATGCCTTCAGAGATGAAACAAGAGCTTCATTCCGGAATCAAGAAGCTTCGATCTGGAACTTGGAGACTCAAATTGGTCAGCTATCAAGGCAGTTCATTGAAAGAACTCAGGGCACCTTTCCAAGTAAGACCGATACGAACCCAAAGGCACAATGTAATTCAATTGTCACAAGAAGTGGGATCGTGATTCAACCTGTGGAAAAGCCACCAGTTGAAAAAAAGAAAGAAGTTGAACCTGAAGCTAAAACTGAAGTTGAGAAAGAAAAAGAAGAAGATGCAGTAGAAGTCGAAAAGAGCAGTCCAGAGAAGAAGCTGTTCAAATGGGAGAAAAAGAAACCTCTGGACAGGCAACCAAAAGCGGCAAACCCATCTCCCTATGCAAAGCTTCCATACCCTCAGCGGTTGAAACAAGAAGTCCAGAAACAACAATACACCAAATTTTTGGACATCTTCAAGAATCTGCAAGTCAACATTCCTTTCGCAGAAGCCCTGGAAAGCATGTCGAACTATGCGAAGTTCATGAAGGACCTTCTATCAAAGAAACACAAGTTAAAGGAATGCGAAACAGTGGCCTTGACAGAGGATTACAGTGCAATCATCCAGAAGAAACTTCCTCCCAAGCTAAAGGATCCAGGCAGTTTTAGTATTCCTATAGCCGTAGGAAATATTGAAGTAGGGAAAGCACTATGCGATTTGGGAGCAAGTATAAACCTGATGCCACTGTCCATGTGCAGAGCTCTTGGAATAAAGGAGCTCAAGCCGACTACAGTTTCTCTCCAGTTAGCTGACAGATCGATCAGGCGACTAGATGGGGTAATTGAGGATGTTCTAGTTAAAATTGACAAATTTATATTCCCTGCAGATTTTGTAGTTCTGAATATGGAAGAAGACATCGAGATTCCCCTATTGCTTGGAAGGCCATTCTTAGCCACCATAAAGGTAATGATCGATGTAGAGCAAGGAAAACTGATGCTGAGGGTGAACGAAGAAACAGTCACCATTGACGTCTTCGAATCAATGAAACATCCAACAGAAGGAGGAGACTGTTTTATTATTGACATAATAAAGAAGCAATTGATGATGCTATGAAAGAGGAGAGTTGCCCACTCGAGTTAGAACAAATCAACGAAGAAGTTGAAATAGCTGATAAAGAACCAGTGGTGGAAGAATTTGAAAGAAAGAAAGATGACATCCCTCTTGGAGCACCAAAGGTGGAGCTTAAGGAGTTACCTCCAAATTCGAAGTATGCCTTCCTTGGTGACAATAACACATATCCGGTCATCATTAATGTTGAGCTATCAACCGCAGAAGAAGAAAAGCTTGTCAAAGTGCTGAAGAAACACAAAGCTGCCATAGGATGGTCCTTCTCCGACCTAAAAGGTATAAATCCTTCCTTTTGTACTCATAAAATTCTAATGGAAGATGATATTAAACCTGTGAGGCAGCCGCAAAGGAGACTCAATCCAACCATGAAAGAGGTGGTTAGGAAAGAAGTAGTTAAACTATTGGATGCAGGTATGATCTACCCGATATCTGATAGTGCATGGGTAAGTCCTGTACAAACGGTACCCAAGAAAGGAGGAGTCACCGTGGTAAGAAATGAGAACAACGAGTTGATTCCAAGAAAGGACAATCACCAGGTGGAGGATGTGCATCGACTATAGAAGACTAAATACAGCCACTCGGAAGGACCATTTCCTCATCCCTTTCTTGAACCAGATGTTGGAGAGACTAGCTGGCCATGCCTTCTACTGCTTCCTGGATGGGTACTCAGGCTACAACCAAATAGCAGTAGCTCCAGAAGATCAAGAATAGACAACATTCACATGTCCTTACGGAGTCTTCGCTTACCGGAGGATGCCCTTCGGCTTGTGCAACGCTCCAGCTACTTTTCAAAGGTGCATGTTATCTATCTTTTCTGATATGATTGAGAAATCTATTGAGATCTTTATGAACGATTTTTTTGTTTTTGGTCCCTCTTTTGACAATTGTTTAGAAAATTTATCTTGTGTTTTACCAAGATGTCAAGAGAGTAATCTTGTTTTAAATTGGGAAAAATGCCACTTTATGGTAAAAGATGGCATAGTTCTAGGACATAAAGTGTCCCAAGATGGTATAGAAGTAGATAAAGCTAAGATATCTGTTATTGAGAAACTTCCCCCTCCCTCTAACGTTAAAGGCATTCGAAGTTTTCTTGGTCATGCAGGTTTCTACAGACGTTTTATGAAGGACTTTTCCAAGAAAGCAAAGCCACTATGCAAGTTGTTGGTCAAAGATGAAGAATTCAACTTTACAGATGAATGTTTGGTAGCATTTAATATTTTAAAAGATCAATTGACCACTGCACCTATAATCACTGCACCTAACTTCACACTACCTTTTGAATTAATGTGTGATGCTAGTGATTATACAATAGGAGCTGTCTTAGGACAAAGAAAGAACAAATTGTTGCATGTGATTTATTATGCTAGTAAAATTCTGAATGATGTACAAATGAATTATTCAACCACTAAAAAAGAATTACTAGCAGTTGTCTATGCATTTGATAAATTTAGACTGTATTTGTTGGGGTCTAAAGTAATTGTTTACACTGATCATGCTGCTTTAAAGTATTTGTTGAATAAGCAGGATGCAAAGCCATGATTACTTAGGTGGATGCTGCTCCTTCAAGAATTTGATGTGGAGATCAGAGACAAGAAAGGTGTGGAAAACTTGGTGGTTGATCACCTCTCCAGAATTCAAGAAAAAGATCTTCAAGACGGACCTGAGTTGAAGATCAGAAAGGAATTTCCCGATAAACAAATCATGGCTATCAATGTCATCGCGGATCCACAACCGGAGGAAGTAAAGACCACAAGTACACCTCCTTGGTTCGCAGATTTTGCAAACTTCAAAGCAGCAGGAGAAATTCCAGTAGACTTCACATGGCAACAAAGGAAGAAGTTTCTACATGATGTCAAGAAATACCTATGGGATGAGCCTTTCCTGTTCTGCAGATGTGCTGATGGAGTAATAAGGCGATGCATCCCAGAAGAAGAGATGAAAGACATCCTGTGGCATTGTCATGGTTCCAGCTACGGTGGACACTTCGCAGGAGAAAGAACAACTGCAAAGGTGCTGATGAGCAGTTTCTATTGGCCAACACTTTACAAGGATGCAAGGAAGTTCGTTGAATCTTGTGATAGATGTCAGCGAACGAGAAACATCTCCAGAAGACATGAAATGCTCCTCAACAACATATTGGAGGTTGAGATTTTTGATGTGTGGGGAATAGACTTCATGAGACCCTTCCCCCTTCCTATGGCAACAAATACATCCAGGTTGCAGTTGATTACGTCTCCAAGTGGGTTGAGGCTGTTTCCCTTCCTACTGATGATGCTCGGGTGGTTATAGCATTCCTGAAAAGAAACATATTTGTCCGATATGGCGTACCGC